CAGGTGCCGGCCTGGGGGAGGCCGTCCGGGCCCACGGGCACTTGTGATGCGATGCGTCTACTCACCCCCGGCATTGCGTCTCCTGCCTTCTGCCTGTCTGCCGACTTCCCTCCCACCAGCACCGCTCTTTCTCGGAGGGAAACTCCCGATGCCCAAGCCCTTCCCTTCACGGCAGCCGGACAGCCGACGGGCAGGAAGTCACGAAACCCTTACAGGACCACCGGCCGCGGGCATGACGGTCCCGCAAGTCCCTGCTGCTGGTTGAGAACTCACCACGTGCCAGACGCTTTGCACATGACCTTCCCCCAGCTGCCCCCACCCCCCACCCCCGCCTGACAGCCGAGGCACTGGCATCACTTGGGGGGTCGGGTTCTCAGGGTGTGTTAACCCCTACTCTTGTCTCTCTCGGTTCCAGGATAGGACCCGGGTCGTGTCGCCCATCATCGATGTCATCAACATGGACAACTTTCAGTACGTGGGGGCGTCCGCCGACTTAAAAGGGGGTAGGTGCGCTCACGGCCCCCCGCCCGCCCTCCCTTTCTGGGTCCCTGAGTGATGCTTATATTTCCATTACTCTCTCCCCACCCGTAAGCGACTTTCTTCTTTAAAGAGAGACTGAAGAGAGACGCTTGCAGGCCCAGGAACCGGGCCCCGTGCCCTGCCCTGGGGCGTGTGGGAGGCAGCGGGCAGACTACCCACCTTTTCTCGCCTCCTTCCAGCCCCTGAATACGCGGGGGGTCCCCACATTCCGCTTCTCATATACTCTTGGGCGTTTTAGCTTTAGAAGCACCCGGCCCACGGGTTGCATCTGGGGAAGCTTTGGGGGACAAGGGCCCCCATCCGCCCCCGCCCCTCTCTCCTTCCGCCGCACCCACGCGCATTTTGCTGTGTGTTGTGCGTTGCTCTGTTTCTGGTGAGTCTGATCCGAGCATCCCAGGCCTCTAAGCCGTGAGGGCTGGGGGCTGGAGCCGCCAGCCGGCTCTTGTCAGCGCCCTGTTCCCCGTCTGTGCCCGGCAGGTTTCGACTGGAACCTGGTGTTCAAATGGGACTACATGACGCCCGAGCAGAGGCGCGCGCGGCAGGGGAACCCGGTCGCCCCCATCAAGTAAGTGCCAGGGAGCTCTGCCCCCCCAAACCCCTCGCCCCCCGCTCGGCTCTCACGGCATCTCTGCTGGGAGGGAGGAGGGCTCCGTGGACGTCTGTCAGCCCCTCCCAGGCTGGTGGGAACGAGAAGATGCAGGTCCATCAGAGGAGGGACCTGCTCCACGGCCCTGGCCCCGTGGCCGCGACCCGAGGGCCCTGCTGACCCGGCTGAGACGGGCACAGTTGGCGGGCATGGCCTACGGGCGCTGCCTGCTTCCTGGTGGGGGGGTTGTGCTCCTCCGAGGACACCGGGCACAGAAAGGCTGAGAACGTGCCTGGAGCCGCTGGTCTGGGAGAGCCCAGCCACTGGGGTCACTCTCTCCAGGCTCGGACCAGCCCTCCCGCCGCAGGGGCGCCTGGCAGGGTGAGTGGGGAGGATGTGGAGACAGTGGCAAAGCGAGAGGGGCACCGGGGCTCTGAGCAGAGTCGTGCCGCGGGGTTGTTTACAGGGTCAGCATGGAGGACTGGCCGTGGCCTTGACCTCCGACCTCTCCTGTAAGGTCAGCATGGAGGACTGGCCGTGGTGTGACAGTGCTGCTGACCTGACCTTGACCTATGACCTCTACTCCCTTCCCCCCTCTCTGCCTCTGTAGAACCCCCATGATCGCGGGGGGGCTGTTCGTGATGGACAAGTCCTATTTTGAGGAGCTGGGGAAGTACGACATGATGATGGACGTGTGGGGCGGAGAGAACCTGGGTACGTATGCGCCGCGCGTCTGCCGCCACCGAACGGTTTCCGGTTCTGGCGGAACCAGGGTCTTATCCTGCCACCCACGTGGGGCAGACGCGGCAAAGGGCAGCCTCGAAGAGACAGACAGCAAGAGTGTGTGGTGTGCAGGGCGCCAACTGGATAAAACTAGAGAGCCCGTCATCGGACATAATTAGTCCCCACATCAGTATAAACAGTCTCCCTTTTATTTTGGGGGGTGTAATGTATATATTATTTTATTTCAGAGAGGGAGGGAGGGAGGAAGAGATGGAAACATCAGTGATGAGAGAGGATCATGGGTCGGCTGCCTCCTGCACGACCCCCACTGGGGATCGAGCCCGCAACCCGGGCCTGAGCCCTGACCATGGTGACCTCCTGGTTCCTAGGTCGACGCTCAACCACTGAGCCACATCGCCCGGGCAGTCGTTTCTTTTTTAAATACATTTGTACTGATTTCAGCGAGGAAGGGAGAGGGAGCCCTGTCGGGGGGCTGTGGGCAGAGCCCCCAGCCTGTGGTCACGCCGCCTCTCCCCACAGAGATCTCCTTCCGTGTGTGGCAGTGCGGGGGCAGCCTGGAGATCATCCGCACTGAGCCACACCGCCCGGGCAGTTTTTTGTTTTAATATATTTGTACTGATCTCAGCGAGGAAGGGAGAGGGAACCCTGTGGTCACGCTGCCTCTCCCCACAGAGATCTCCTTCCGCGTGTGGCAGTGCGGGGGCAGCCTGGAGATCATCCCCTGCAGCCGCGTGGGGCACGTGTTCCGCAAGCAGCACCCATACACCTTCCCCGGCGGCAGCGGCACCGTCTTCGCCCGGTAAGTGACGGAGAGGCTGAGCCGGACCAGGACCTGCAGACTGCCACCCCGACGGGGGCCCAGCCTGGCCCTGTGGAGGCGTGGCCTCCGGTGGCAGGCCCGTCAGCAGGGACGGGGGACGCTGTCCATCCACAGACCGCGGGCGCCTCCCGGGCACGGTGCTGCGTGGAAGGGGCTGGTCTCAGAGGGGTGTGTCCTGTGCCGTCGCCCTTACAGGGCAGTCGCAGCCGGGGGTCGGGCTGGGGCAGGTGTGACGATGGGTGGCATGAGGTGGGCGGGGCTGATGGGATGTTCTTTGTCCCGATGCCCAAGGGGCCGGTCAGAGAGAGCCACGCATGTGGGAATGCTCGCAGGCTATGTGAAGAGAACTTACACTCTGACTCGAGGTCCAATATGTGGATGAGACGAAAGTCCAGCCCCAGGAAACTCAAGCCAGAAAGGCCTCGTGATCTGTCGGGTCTATTTTCACCAACCTGAGCGCTTTCCGAAGAAAAGCAGCAAGGCGGTCCATGCTTTCCCTTGGGCAGTGGTTCTCAACCTTCTGGCCCTTTAAATACAGCTCCTCATGTGGTGACCCCACCATAACATTATTTTCGTTGCTACTTCATCACTGTCATATTGCTACTGTGATGAATCGTAATGTAAATATCTGATCTGCAGGAGGGTCTTAGGCGACCCCTGTGAAAGGGTGGTTCCACCGCCAAAGGGGTCGCGACCCACAGGTTGAGAACCGCTGCCCTAGGGAATCGGAGATGCTAAAGATAAAGCTGTGTCCACACCTATCAGCCCGGCTGCGAGGTGGTGGTGGCGGCCATGGGGTCAGGCACGGGGGTGCCAGAGCCGGAGCAGGGGTTGCGGGCACAGGGCAGCAGGTCCAGGCGCTGAGATGAAGGGGACCTGGGGCAGGAGGACAGGGTGTGACCGGAGCCTG